TGCATTCAGATTGTCTCAATGCCTTTTAATATTGCACACAATCATACACACAATTACATGTCTAGATTGTCTCAATACCCCTTAAGCTTGCACACAATCATACATCCAAATTGTTTTTTTGTCTCTTAAGCTTTGCACACAGTTACATGTCAAAATTATCTCAACCCCTCAAGACACAATCACAAATTTATCAATATGTATCATTATACTTGTTGCCTCTAAGTTAAACTTTTAACTTAAATATTGATTGTTGGAGAGATAAGCTACACTCAGAAACTCATGTGAGCACATAAAAAATATCTATATATACATATTGGATATTACTTGACACAAAAAATTTAAATTATTAAAATTTTAAATCTTTCATGTATATGTCATATATCCGACCTATTTTCAAGTGATGTGGGATTTCCACAAACATGTGAACCATCCTTAACATCCTTTGGGTGGATAATAATCTCACTATTTAAAAATAATAGTAGTATCAAATTATCAATTCAACCTACTAAAATTTGTAGTAAGGGAATATTTAGAATTATTTAGTATTTTGTATAACATGTTTCATCTTTAATTTGGTAAATTAATTCGTAGGTGTAGATTTTGGCACTCAAAAGTAGAAAACCAATTGAATCTATCAACCTCAATAAAGAAATTGAAGGTTCTTGCAAGAATCGAAGTTCAAACAATTAAGATGTCTAGTTGGATATCTCAAGGATATTTATACATGCAGCATTTTTTTGTAATTACATATATAATTAAAATTACGAATAATTTTGTAAAATTTTATTACATATTTTTTTATCAATCAAATGTAGAATTTATTTATTTAATTTTTTTCTTTATCTTGGTATATTTTAAATTTCATTTAATTAGTTCAAAAGAAATTTTAAAAACTTAAAAAGATTAAAAAAAGATGCAAAATAAATAATAAATCTTCAAAAATAACATAAAGTTTTATTGACGAAATTTTCTATGGTAAATTATAAAAATTTTTAAATTAATACTTTTAGCAACAAAAATTTTCATTGCGAATAGATTTTATTGATGAAATTTTATAAAAAATTTTTGAAAATTTTGAAATAAAATTACAATTAATGACAAAAATTTTTGTACCAGTTAAATTTTAGAGTTAATTTTAAAAATATTTTAATAAAAAAAGTTTTAGTGACAAAAATTTAAAAACTATTAATGAAAATTTTCATTACGAATTCTATTTATTATCGCTGAAAAATTTCATTACTAAAAAAATAATTTCAATTGACTTCAAATATTAATGAAATATTTTCTATGAAATTTTCATCCATAATGACTATTACTAACGGAATCAAGAGCATTAATAATAAAAATTTGCATCATTAATGCCCTTCTTTCTTATAATGTAATATCTGAATGAATTATCAAATTGGACGCTCATTAGACTAATTAAGAATCGATCAATTTCCATTTATATCAAATTTGAACCATACCAAACCATATTTAAACCAATTTTGTAGAATTTATTTACTGTTTAATGAATTAAAAATAATTTGTTCGAGACAGGATTTGAACCTGCCTTTTTAATCCCAATTAATGAGTTAAACGTACTTTTATATTATATTTTCATCCAATTTAATACATATTCAATGTTATATAGTTTTTAAGTGTGATTTAATGACACGATTGGATGGGCCAATTGAACCAAAAATCAAATATCCAACCGATTAGATCACATTATTAAAACATTAATAGAGAAACGAAAATTTAAACCTTGCCCTTTAGAGTAAGAGATCAATATATCATGCACCAGTGGTTAAATCAAATATTTATTAATTTTAAAATCTTATATTAGTAAAAGCTTCTGAGTTATACATATACATTTACATTTTACAAAATCTTTAACCAAGTTTTGTATCACAAATAAAGTAATATTAATTAAGTTTGAGATATTACTAAAAAACCACATGAAAACAAAATAAAATAATGTGGCCTTTGAGCCTATTGGCACTTGAGTTTCTTATTTTACATAGAAGCAGGAAGTGGATTTAAATGTTTTAAATTTACTTTGCTTATTTTTTCTCACTTCTAAATAATTGTGTACATTGAGTCATCCTTTTATTGTTATATTTAAAAAATAATTTTTTATTTTTTAATATTTTTTAAAATAATAAATTATTTATTATTTCACCCACTAGATGTGCATACATCTAATATTATACAATAAGAATCAACGTGAAATGATACATCTACCTAATATATTAGTACGAATCAACCTGAAATGGTACATGGATAGATAATCAATCGAAACAAACTATTACAAATGCATGTCATTTATAAAATAAATAATAACTCGACAACTTGATGCTGCAACCTTTTATTTTGACTTTTATTCCATATTAATTCCAAAACAATGTTAATAACATTAAATTTATACAATTATCAAGTTTATTCAATTAAATGGGCATTTATATAATAAAAATAAAACCCCCCTTTTCTAATTCTCAAACTTCAACCAACAAGGCAACCGGGGTTGAGGAATTGGGAGTTTAAGACGAACAAGATACCTGTTTGGATACATCTTAAAAATGTTCCATTGGAGCTGTATACTAAGAAAGGGCTAAGCTATATAACCAGTGCATTAAGCATTCCACTATACATGGATAAAATTACAGCAAACTTTGAAAGGCTTGCTTATGCAAAAATCTGTGTATGTGGTACTCCAAGATGGCACACTCGCCTCTATCTCAGTGGAAGTCCCATGGCAGCCTCCAAAATGCCAGCACTGCAAAGTTTTTGGGCATTCAGACAAATCATGTATGAATAGGCCTGTGGTAGCAGAAGCTAGGGTGTGGCAGCCAAAGGAATCTAAGGAGCAACGGGTTAAGGAAGTGAAGGAGGCTGTGCCAGAGGCTAATTCTAAGAGTGTCAAGCTGCAAGTTGAACCGATGCAAGTAGCAAAGTCAGGGCCAGAGAGTACTCCTGAGAGAGGCAAGCTGCGAGTTGAATCAATGCAGTTAGCAAAGTTAGGGTCCACAAACAAATTTGCTATACTAGAAGCAGCAATTGAGGACAGGAGTGTTGATGTGAATCTAGAACTGGCTGTGCCTGAGGCTAGCAAGACGAGAGAGGAAGGAATTATTCCTAAATCACCCAGGAAAGTAAGGGCGGCAGCAGCAGGAGTTGCAGATTTGATGAAACAGTTGAAGAATAAGAAAAAGGGTCCCATTGATAAAAGGAAAAATAAACAGGTAAGGGTGGAACACTCTGCTCTAGGAGGTCATTCATCCTTTCCCTTTTCATTATGAATGTGCTTAGCTGGAATGTCAGAGGACTAAATGATCCTCTGAAACAAAGAGAGGTTGTATGTAGGATCAGAAGAGAAAAAGTAGATATGGCTTGTTGGTTAGAAACGAAAGTGAAGCAACAAAACATGCAGAAAGTTCTGAACAATAACTTTGCTGGCTGGTCCATTCATCATCACTATGTTACCGCTTACAATGGAAGAATATGGATGATATGGAAGGATGAGTTAACAATTGATTTAGTTGATACAATTGACCAAAGCATTACATGTAGCATTTTGCATGGCACTCATAAGCTATACTTCACAGCAATATATGGGTCTAATACTGAGGGTGAAAAGAAAAGACTATGGATGCACTTGATTTCTCTCAAAAGTATTGTAGAAAGCTCTCCATGGATGTTGGATGGAGATTTTAATGTTGTGGCTCACTCTTCGGAGAGTTCAGACTATAATGGTTCCCAAATATCTAGCTCCAGTACAAAAGCTTTTCAAGAATGCTTGCAGAAATTGAATGTTCTAGATCATCCTTATACAGGGCCTCTTTTTACTTGGAGCAATCATACACTGTCAAGGAAATTGGATAGAGTGCTAATCAATGATTTATGGCTCACGCAAGTACCAAATTCAGAAGTTGAATTCCTTCTCCTTGAAGTATCTAACCATTGCCCAGCTCTTATAAAGTTGACTACATTGAGAAAATCAGCACCAAAACCATTTAAGTTCTTTAATTTTTGGTTAAAGCACCCTGAGTTCTTAAAGCTAGTGGAGGAATCCTGGACTGTACCAGTGAGTGGTAAACCTATGGTTGTAGTGCATAAGAAATTAAAGAGGTTGAAGCCAATGTTAAGGAATTTCAACTTCACTCAATAGGGAGATCTTACAAAGAAGGTAAGAATGAAAAGAGAAGAGTTAGCGGCAGCACAACTTGCAACATTAATGCGATCACCTAAGGCTGGTGCAGAGAATGAGAGGAAACTGTCATTGGAACTCTTTGAACTGTTGAAAGCGGAGGAAAGCTTATGGAGACAGAAGTAAAGAATTAGATGGATGCAAGAAGGAGACCAAAATACAAGTTTCTTTCACAAAATAGTGGCAGCAAGGCAGAGGAGAAGCAATAAATGGGTACCGCATGACAGTAACGGAAACAGGTTGGATTCCTTCTCACAGATATCAGATGAGGCTGTGGGATTTTTTAAGCAGTTGATGGGCACAACTGATGCTAATGTTGAAGGCTGCAAGAAAGAATTGTTGACTGACTTACTCCAGGTATCCTTAACGGGCGAGCAAAGGACAGCAATATCACAAAATGTTATAAGGGAAGAAATTAAGGAAGCTATCTTTACTCAACATAGTAATAAAGCACCGGGCCTTGATGGTTTCAATGCCCATTTCTTTAAGTTTGCAGGGAGTATAGTAGGGGAGGACGTCATTGCAGCTATATCATATTTCTTTCAAACTGATGATATGCTACCTTGCTTTCAACTCTACAATAATAACTTTGGTACCAAAAAGCCCATCTCCAGCTAGCATCTCTGATTATAGACCAATATCTTGCTGTACTGTTATTTACAAGAGTACAACAAGGATACTAGCTACCAGAATGCAACAATTCATGCCAACCCTAATCAGTAACAGTAAAAGCGCCTTTATAAAGGGGCGAAACATAATAGACAATGTACTTATGGCATAGGAATTGGTGAGAGGTTATAGTAGAGCTACCATGTCCCCAAGGTCAGCTATTAAAATTGATTTAAAGGAAGCATTTGACTCTTTAAGTTGGGAATTTTTAATCTCAGTTCTAGAGGCAATGGGATTTCCAAGAAGGTTCGTTGGTTGGATAAAAGGCTGTCTCACTTCACCAATGTTCTCTTTATCAGTCAATGGAGGCTTGGTGGGATATTTTAAGGGGACAAAAGGAGTAAGGCAGAGGGATCCTATGTCACCATACGTATTTGTTATTGCTATGAATGTTTTGGACACCTTACTGGATAGTGCTGCATCTTATGGCATTTTTTCTTACCATCCCAAATGCAAGAAGGTGAACTTGACACACTTATGTTTCGCTGATGATCTCCTTATCCACACAAAAGAGAAGTTGGATTCTGTTAAGGGAATTCAAGTCATACTAAAGCAGTTTTATACTTATTCTGGACTGCAGTTAAATAGTGCAAAGAATGAGCTATATTATACAGGGATTCCAGGAACTGAGCTTGAAGAAATCCTGAAAGTGCACAAGATGGGAAAACTTCCTGTTAGATATCTTGGGGTTCCACTGGTGGCGCGAAGGCTTACTATGACAGATTGTATGCCACTAATTGAGAGGATCACAGCAAGAAATCATAGCTTGGCAACAAGACATTTGTCCTACGCAAGTAGATTACAGTTGATCCAATCTGTCCTTTTTAGTATTCATAACTACTGGTGCAAGCATTTTGTTCTTCCAAAAAAAGTAATCAAGAGGGTCAACCAGCTCTGTTCAGCATTTTTCTGGAAAGGCCAATCAAGCACAGCAAAGGAAGCCCGAGTAAGATGGCAAGCAAAATGTAAACCAACGTCAGAAGGAAGGTTGGGATTAATAGATGTTGGTGCGCGGAAAAGCCTGCATGATTAGGCTTCTATGGTTTATCTTTACACAAGCAGGCTCGTTATGGATTGCGTGGATACACATATATGTGTTAAAGGGAAGAAGCATTTAGGAAATTCCACAAACTCAAAGTCATAGCTGGTGTATGAGGAAGCTACTTCAGATAAGAAGTCTTGCAAGCAAATTTCTGACACAAGCAGATACTGGAATAGTTTGGAATAATAAAGGTTCTAGCTACTCGACTGCAAGTGTGTGGGAAGAAATAAGAGAAAGGCAAATGAAAGTAAATTGGCATAGGCTTGTCTGGTGTAAATTTCACATACCAAAGTATGCTATTATTACCTGGATGGCTATTCTTGATAGGCTCCCAACGAAAGACCGACTGGTTTCTTGGGGAATTCACACTGATGGGGACTGTGTACTCTGCAAGCAAGAGGAGAGCAGGGACCACATTTTTTTCAATTGTAGATACTCTAAGAGGGTATGGCAACAGGTACTACACCTGTGTAATTTACAGAGGGAAGCTGAGGGATGGGAGAATGAGCTTCAGTGGGCAGTTAGTAGGCTACGAGGGAAAGCTTTGGTCTCAGTCATACTACGACTGGCGTGGGGGTGTACATATACTGGATTTGGGCAGAAAGGAATGCACGCATACACAAGTCAGTGGAGCTCACAGGGGAGCAAATATTGAAAAATATCAAAGATGCAGTTAGATTACGATTGATTGGCCTAAAAAATATAGCTTATGATCATGTTAACCAAGAACTATGTGAGAGATAGGAGTTGAGTAGGGACTCATTTGTGGTGTAAAAAGTTCGACAGTATGTAATTGTTGGTTGGTAGCAGTTCTACTTCTTCTTGGATAATGAATAAAAATTACTTATCCAAAAAACCAAGGTTCGACAGTATGTAATTGTTGGTTGGTAGCAATTCTACTGCTTCTTGGATAATGAATAAAAATTACTTATCCAAAAAAAACAAGGCAACAATGTATATATAAAACTTTGCTACATAAAAAAAGCAGTTGATCAAACACTTAACCTGATAACACAGTTTAAACTCAACTCCAACAAAAATCTACAGTTTCAAAACAACAGAAAACACAACGCTCAACAAAATTCCCTAACAGCCAAACAAAACAAACCACCATTTCTATCAAATAATTTCACTGCAGAGTCAGTTTACCTGGTCCACTATCTTCAATCAAGTAGAATTTGCTCACCATCAGCATCTGCTGTGTCTCAACCTTAGGTTTCAATGAAGCTTGGCCAGCTCCAGAAGCCTGCTTCTTCTTAATCCCACTTACAATGTCATAAATCCATAGAAGCATTCAAGCGGCTTCTATGGCTGTCTTAAAATTTTGAGCCTTGACATTGTATGCATCCCAAATCTAACACATTTTTAATAATTCATTCACAAATGATCGATCAACTTATGCATCCCAAATCTAACACATTTTTAATAATTCATTCACAAATGATCAATCAACTTCAAGTTACTACTTACTAGACACCAGAACACTTTAATTAACCATTAAGCCAAAATCACAAATACTTGGAGAAGCATTTACATTTTTTATTACTGAACTATGCACCCACGTAAGTAAACACAAAGGAACATGATGATGCATCAGATATCCAAATTAAGTAGATGTTTCCATCATCTCTCACCCAAATGCTTCAGGGGGCATTAGAATGAATTTATATCCAGAAAATTGCAAAAATCAGATTCTCTATCCTTTTTTCTCTAACTAATTAAAAAGAGAATGAATTACATTTATGATCCTCGAACTTTCACACCTAAATGTTAATCATTGCAATTTTCATCTAATACCTTAATTAAAAGTGTAGTAATATTTATGCCTTGCAATCCAAGAGATGTTAATGACGGTGGAATTGTAGATTCATGGCAAATCGGATGACATACAGATGTCATTAAAATCTAAAACAATAAAGTTTTTTTCTTTCATTATTTTTCATTCTCTCTCTCTTTTTATATATTAAAAAAAGTAAAACCACTTGTCAAAATTCTTTTGACTCACAGGCATCCAACTTTCCTTTACATACAAAACCATAGCCATAGCAGTTGCAGTTATAAAACTCTCTTGAAACCCAACTCAGAGTGCAGCAACATGCATTTGCTTTCTCAAACTTAGAAGTAGAATCACCTTTTCTCTCATCTCCTTTATCCCTTTACAATCCCATCTTCATACACTAACTTACAGCTCACATTCCGACACCATCACACTCTCCCAACTCATCTTTCAGCCTTAAATTCCTTACAAATCCTGTTCCGGCAACTTGCCTCAAGGTCTTCGTAAAAAGAGAGATGGAGGGTTTTGCAGACGTGGAATTTTTTGAACAAATAGATCAAAATTTAGAATGATAGACCAAAATGAGTGATTTTCTTTCCTTGTTTATAAAAAAATCACTTTTGTCCTCAAATGGGTTGTAGATGTCTTACATGGCTCAGAAGTGGACAATCTCATCCACCTTATTAACATCTTGAAAGATAGGACATAATTATTAAACATAATCAGAGTTTACGATAAAAATTGCAACTATGAAAAGCTCAGGTAGAAAAGTGAAATTCTGGTAGTTTGAGTACCAACAGTGTACTCTACTTAAAGAAAAAGTACAAATGTCATGATACCTTTCGCTCATTCAAGTCAGCAATGGCACCAGTGTTCCCATCTATGCCAACCCATGCATTTTCACCATTTGCATGCTACAAGCACAATTTGAGAAAATAGAAACTGAAGGTGTAAGGGTATCTTCAAAAGTGTATAACTGCACTCTAGAAATATTCATACCTTTCCTTGCAGAGCAGTCATGGTCTGAATTATGTTAACCCCACAATTCTGCGTCAAAGTATGTGGTATGGCTTCAAAAGCAAATGGTGACTGTTACAAAACAAGTGAATATAAAGTCACTAACAACTAAAAAAACTTCAGGAAATTACCAAAAGTATATCTCTAAAAAGGTTGGTAAGTGTATATTCAATATCAAGAAAGGTTAGCATTCATAATCATATAACTCTAGACTCATCAAAGTTATGCATTAATGCATCAAACACCTTTTCTATGCCTTCAACAGATGAACTCTTCTGCTTCAAAGTGGCAGAAATGGTTAACTCTGTAGCACCACCACCAGGAACAAGTTTTGGATTCTTGATTATGTTTCTTGCAATAGACATGGCATCCTGTTAATTGAAACTAACTTCAGAACTTCAAGAAGAAAAAGGAAATGAGCTTCAGAACTTAATTCCATTAACAGACGGAAGTAGCACATTAAATCACTTACCTGCAAGTTTCTTTCCACCACATTCAGGAGATCCTTGCTAGCACCCCTTAGGAGAACCGTACAAGCTTTTGGATCTTTGCAATCAATAATAAATGCAAAGAACTCATCCCCAATTTTTTTAACCTCAAATAGCCCAGCTCCAGTACCAACATCAGATTCCTGCAATTCATCAGGATGATTCACAACAACAGCTCCGGAAGCCTTTGCAATTCTGTTGTTGTCTTTCTCACCCTCCTAATTGCACTGACACCAGCCTTACTCAGATAATGGCATGCCAAATCACTAAGTCCTTTTTCTGTAATCACCAAGTCTGGTTTGAATTTCAGAATCTGCATGCAAAGGTTCTCAATGTATTTATTCTTCTTCCATTCTCAACAGAATTTCCCAATCTTCTTCCTTATGCAACTCAGCATTTGTTTGGTTCTCCCCTTTCTTATGCTCAAGTGGACAATCAAGAAGAATAATATGTGGGTTGACGATCTTTCTTTTCACTTTTCCAGGTGTAACTACATCTTTATTGATCATCACTCCCTTGAGGACCTTAGACTCTTCCAACTGGCTACCAGGCACTTTCTCTATTTTAATGTACTTTTTAATATCAACTTCTCGCAGACCTTGGCCAAGGTCAACTCCAACTGTTGTAGTTGCATCAATTGCCAAATCCTGGAAGTTAAACAATTAAGTAGCTATACAAATAAAAACATAAAAAAAAAAAAATTATTTTTAACACTTCTATTTTAATAAAACCAAATGATTATGAAAGAAATGAAAGTGCCATGTACAGAATACAAATCACTACTAAAGAGAATTTCTGAGCTACGTCCAGCAAAACTGAAGAAAAGATAAAGAAACACAGTGACCTGAAGAATATCAATTTTCACTTATGCAGATGTGATTTATACAGATGTGATATGTCAAAAAACCATCACACAAGCTAGCCTGTGCACCTTGTCTTCGTAGGTATATCGTTTCAAGAATATGGCGCTCTGGTAGATTAGCCTCATAATCAAACAGTTTCAATCACTAGATCCATAGTATCAAATTTATGTTAAATCTGATAACAGACATACAAATCAAAACTAAATAAAAAGGGGGAAAATGAAAGAAAAGACAAGTAAAAACAAGGGAAGCCTAAGTAGAAGGGTAAACCAAATGGAATCCATGTAACTATGGTTAATATATTTCTGGTTTCAAATGTTCCATGATTCCTTCCGTAACAAACATATATGTTTCAATTGTTTTATATTTCATGCTAACAAACTTAATGTTAATATTTGGAAAGGAACCATTTCTCTATTCACATTCGAATATAAGCAAACTGGTAAAAGATGTTTCATATGTCAATTCGATGGTCTATGACATAAGATTCTATAATCAAAATGAGTATAAAAACAGCCCTATAACAAAGAAGACAACTCACAGCAATCGGATCTCCAAATTGGCTAGTGAACTTTGTCCCTATACAGCTCTTCACAAGTCTCAACATTGTTGAACCTGCCATTCAAATCCACATGTTACAATATGAGCATGCCAAATATATTAAAGATTCAAATGGCAACAATACAAAGGGATAAAAGATTAAAACATTGTTAAGAAAAAGTGTCCAGAAAAACATACGGTCTTTTACATCAATGGGCATTGCAATCTTGTCAAGCACAGCAATAGCGTCCTCCAAAGCCTTACTGTATGCTGCAAATGAAAGGGCTCTTCATCAAATGTTAAGTT